ACACTTGCTCGGAGATACCGCACTCCAAGACTTCAACCCGAAGGAAAGTACCTTTCCTTCGTACAACCAAGGGAAACAAGCTTCCCTTAATGTCTATAAAAACTAAGAACACTCAAGAACAAGGCTCTCTCAAAAGAGTGAATATGAGTAAACTAATACGCTCAAGATCACAACACGAACTTCACAAAAATGGCTCTCGAAAAGCTATGAATAATGTATGAATAATATGCAATGAAAGAATAGGGGTTGTGAAGTTATGTGTTCTTAAAAACAGACCCAAACACCCCATTTTATAGTGGAAAAATAGGCTCCAACGGATCAAAACATTTAATGGGTGATTGGCACAATTTGTGGGATTTGATTAAAATTGGGTCTGCTGAAAATCTTCTAGACAGCGCTGTCCTAGGCTTAGACATCGCTGTTCTAGGTTTGGATTTGAAAATTGGGAAGCAACGGTCATGCCAACAGCGATGTCCAATACTCCTACATCGCTGTTTTGGCTGTTGACTTCCAAACAAGGAAAGTTTTAGCCTTAAATTCCTTCCAACGGTCAGGTCCTTACATCGCTGTTCAATACTTGAACATCGCTGTTTAGGTCTGACTTTGAAGGTGGAGTTTTGGCCTAACAGCGCTGTTGCTCGGTCAACATCGCTGTCCTGAAACTTTCTGCCAATGCACTATATTTTTGGCTTAGGTTGGACAGCGCTGTAGGGAGGCCTACATCGCTGTTCCAGAAGTTTATGGAAATCCAACCTTGGCTCAACAGCGATGTCTAACATCCAACATCGCTGTTGGAAGACTTAACGTCAAACTATGGTTTTCAGCTACCCAATCCAGACAGCGCTGTTGGTTACACCAACATCGCTGTTGGGCTGGTTTAGTCAGCCGTTAGCCGATGTCAAAAGTGTAAGTTCTCCAAAATAAAAACCAAGTATTGAAAATGTTTGTTTAATGCATTTTGTTAAGAAATCAAGTAAAACATTTTGAAAACCACGGCATTTAGTTTAAAACCACGGCTAGCCAAGTTTACGCCGTTTCGCATGGTTTTCACTAAACGACCAAAAACGAAAGGTGGTTTTTGAAGCGTTTTTGTTGGAGAACTATTTAAAAGTTGAAAACCACTTGGTTGGTTCGAACGCCAAAAACCAACGTCGATAACCGAAAGCTGAACGCCGGTTTCCGAAGACCGAATGCCGGATGGCTTGGTTTTTGGTTTGGGCGAACTCCAAGTGTTTTCAGGCAGGTTTAAGACTTAAGAAAATCATTTTGAATATGCAAAAAATATTTTGATGAAATGAGCCTAGAGAGCCATGTTTTGAAGGTTTGTGCCGGTCTTGATCACATTAAAACCGACTCAATACAATTCTAAGTCTTCGTTCTTGATTCTTGGTTCTTGGTTCTCAGTTCATCATGCCATGTTCCTTCGCCTTGGTTTTGCTCAGTTAAACCTTGTTATTGTCACGGCAGTTTGGCATTATCAAAACCTGTCATAAAACGAACACGGCTTAGTACGACATAGGCGTAAACCCGTGTTCCAACAATAATGCCCAAAACTTCAAAAAGGGCACTGTCTAGGAATTGGGTATATCTATATCCCAACTCGGCTAAACGTCTATTCTTCTAGAGCACGGATTGTGCTTCAACGCTAGTTCCATCACAAAATCCCAAAAATAACACTAATCATATGTGGCCACCATAATCAAAGCACAATGATAACAAGAAGAATAAATTGCAATGATATTCAATGAAGAATCAAGTTTCAATAAAAATTACAATGACATCGTCCCTAACCTCGGTGGAGGGATTTAGCCACAACACATTTTGGAAACAAGCAAATACAACACAATGGAATACATTACAAAGAAATAGGAGAAGAGATTACATGGAGCAAGCCGAAATTCGAGGTCGAATGTGGAACCCTAGCCCTCTCCTCTAAGCTTGAACAAGAACACAAAAGGGGTGGAGAAGTTTGAGAACAGGATAGTTGGTGGGTGATGATGGCTCTCCCAAAAGCAAGGAATTTATCTCCAATTTATGGTCTTTCACCTTAGATGAACGTTGGGGAAGATTTG